ACGGGCTGTTGCACGGGACTCTATCGCACAGTCCACGGTTCAGCGAGACCGTGACAGAGCTGCGTATTGGAGATTCGGAAACAGGTCATGCGGCGAACCTGGGAGGCTGAAGAACCTGGGAGGATTTACCCCGCGGTCGTTTTTGCTGGTTTGCCTATAAATCCCTTCTAGCCCGTATACCTGCAGACTACTCTTGATACCTCTAGGTGAATGTCGTCACACGTGCAACGTGAAAAGTCAATGATGTTCAAGTTGTTCTGCTGATGTAGCGTCATTGAGAGCCGAGGCCTATATCACAGCAGCCGCTGAAGAGATTGACTTGCGGCAATTTTCGTAAGGTAGGTTTATCTCCTATACCAAACATCAGATACTATCGATGCGTATGAGTGACCCCCCACCGCACGTGCGAAATACAAAATGAAGAGGTGTCTAGTTTGCTCTCGTTACAATAACTCGCACAGCTACTGTGACGCCGCTTATGTTTGGTATGCATGTAGGCACCTACCGGGCAATGCAGATCCATTTGTCGTGGTTAGAGTGCTACCGCACGTGCGCACGTTGGGTCGCTTCCAGATCTCGAGAACGACTGGGCCAATTGCGCTCAAATTTGGCATACGGTTAGGGACCGGCGAATAGGGTGCCATGCAAAAGTCAGATGGGACGCAGTTTGCTCGTGCGCATATGCAGGGTGACTCTTCCAGATCTTCAGAGCGGCTGGGCTGATTGCGTTCAAATGTAGCACACTGACATATACCGGTTAGTAGGGGGCCGTGCACAAGTCAGTTGGTAGAACCTACCCCGTTTTACTAGCGTGCAGGGCTCACTCTCTTGCGCGCTCGCTTGTAACCCTCCCAAAAGTCTTAGGTACTGGTTTTATGTCTTTTAGCATATTTTCCTGCATTTCATCTCGGAAGCAAGATGATGTGTTTTATCTACTAGGTCTATCAGGGAATCAAGGCCACGCAATATCATACATTTTACGGAGATATAATGCTGTGGTGTGTCGGATAGGCTATTTGATGGATTCGGTCTAGTCATACAGGTAAGTACTTTTTTCATCTCAGTTCTCCTGAGTCCTGAGTCTCTAGATCATTGTTAAGAGCAAGTGGATATCAGATCAGAGATGAATGCGTAGGAATATGTTGAATACCTATGATTAATAGGTACCTATGATTCGCCATCTGTCACGGTTATTCAAGGCTACCTGAGTTCACCTGGGGTAAACCTCAACCAACGCTATTCCTAAACTTAACCCGCGCCGGGCCGGTGCTCTGAGATTCCGCGCCGGGCCGAGGGGGGGGGGGTCTGAACACCCCCCTTCTAACTCGGCTCCTGGGCCACGTAGCGACACGCGATAAGCGGCAATCGAAAGAACGTCCAAAATAAGGACGAAAACACTTCGGTCATTTTTTGGGTCAAGTCAAAGGTCAGGTCACCAGAGGTCACCAAAGGTAAAATGTTGACTATTTCAACATTTTGGAAACTGCCAACGGCTATCTCGGGAACCGATAGAGCTATAGCGCCGCGGAAAAGCGCATTCGATAGCCCTTTTACAGACCTTTCTGGGTAATAATCTCAGATTTGACCTCAGGTCAACAGTTTAGCCTCCAGAGGACAAAAACTAAAAAAAAAACGTTTTTACGAAAATCGGTTTTTCGGCGATACCTTTTGACTCAAAAGAGCCATGACGTTACTTTTGCCAGCATCGTGCTCCTCTCGTCGAGACGCGTCGAATGAACTATAAGTTGACCTTGAAAGGTCAACTTGAAAATTTGACCTCAGGTCAAGGCCATGACCTGACCGGAAAAGGTCATGTTGCATATCAGTCGATCCGCAACGTCGAGCCGAACACATCTAAGGCGGTTCAGCGCTCTAGCACGCCTCTATCAGAAGTTATTAGCGAAAAACTGTTAGATTCTGTTCGTGACCTGAGATGACCTCGGGGCCATAACGAGGGGTCACAGTTGCCATTTTCCGGTTCAGTGTGTCAATTTTACCTACATCTCGATGTTTGAGTGTCTAGAATAGCGTTCGAGCAAAACGGACGCTTTTCAATTTTCTCACATTGACTTGTAGGGGAAGTTGGGGCAATGCCGGAGTTGGGGCAAAGCCGAAATTCGAGATATTTCGAAAACCGTAAGACATGGATGCCACCTGTCAGTGATGCTCTGAAGCTTAAGTGACTACAATTATCGCATGTTTGTTACGAGTCGTCATTCGGAATACTTCGGCTGTGAGAGCGCCAAGAGCGTTTTCAAGGTACGCGTTCCTTGTACTACATGCGCCTTTGAAGCTGCATTTCTTACTCATTATGCTACCGTTTGTCTGGCCAATTCGGTCAAGTAATCTTCAGCATGTCTTTGCATAAAGTGTGCTGCCTATTTGAAATTTATACGGCACGTTGAAAAGTTATGGGCCTGCAAATGAAAGTATGGCTGGCTGGGGTAATGCCGAATACGTGCAATTACGCACGTTAAAGCACGCTACGTGGACTTTACTGCTGTAGAATAGCAACGCGAATTTTTAGTCACACAAATTACACTTTCAACCGACACAACGGCCTGTTACCTATAAGGAATTATTTACCTGGCATTTTCTTATTATATCACACAATTATAACTTCCACTGTGCACCAAGCGTCCTCAAGCTCTTAAAACGCGTGTCAGCTTTGATAAATTCTGGATAAAGTTTGAGATAAAGTGGCAAAACATCAATGTCGGCATTCCCCGAAGATCATTTCTCCCATTTTCGGCTTTCCCCGCAGTCCGGGGCAACGCCGAAAAAGTCACTTCTTTGATATTTTTAGTTTGTGCGCTTAACGGTATGCGAATTCATCAAATGCGCCTGGTATGTTTGAAAGGCAAAAGACTGGCCTCTCGAATGACGCCAACAAGAATAGATTATGTTGTCTACCTTGCGTGCTACGGGCGTCAGAAAAAAAGTATTCGGCGTTCCCCCAACTTCCCCTAATGAAGAGGCCGCAAAATTGACCTGACCTTAGGTCACCGATATCAAAATTCCGAGATAAACATTTTATAGACAATGTTGCTCTAATCAATCGCTGAAAGTTCAAAGGCAATCGATCAATCGGTGTAGCTATGACGAGCATTCTTATTTTTTTCTGAGGTGAGGTCACTTGGCGTGACCTGGTGACCTGACCTAAGGTGACCTTGGTCTGAAATATTCACAACATGTGCGGAAAAGATGCACAAACAGGTGTGCCAAAAACGGCGGCGCTCCGCGCCGCCGTTTTTGAGATATTTGCGAAAAACCACAGGGGGGGGGGTGTTCAAACACCCCCGGCCCGGCGCGGGTTGAAGGTAGTGTGCCACCTTCCAATGATTTCCCATTTTATTTTTCCTAGGATAAGAAGCTTCTGTTTTTACCTAATATCGCAAAAAGAAATCAAAAATGGGCCTAAAATAGTGCTTTTTTCGCCTAAAAGTTTATCGGTTTTCGATATGTATAACAACTGTAGTGGGCTGACCTGCAAACAGGCGCCGGCAACAATCGCGAATGCGGCGCACATGTGACAATAAGCAAAGGTCATTATAGAGTTACGACGTACGGGAATGAGTTATCAGCTGTCTAATCGTAGACAACACAATGTCGAATTTAGCTGTAAGCCTGTATTGGTATTGTTTCTTTAATTTGGCTGTCGAACATTAATTTATGGTTTGAAATATGATTTTATGTAAAATAATTGATATGAAACAGCCGTCTCTAAAGTTATGATCCCATCTCACCACATGAAAGTGGCAGAAATGACAATGATCAGCTGACGCATTTTTCTTGGCCGAAGTCAGAGCGCGCGGCCCGACGCACCACCACCGCACCACAAAGTATGAGCAGAAGCCACCTGCAGAAGACCGCGCCCAAAGCCAGGGCCCCGGTAACGTGAGGTAGCCGAGTCGGGGCAGCGTGCGCTGACCCAAGCCGGGGCCGCGGCTTTGGGCGCGGTTTACCGCATCCCCGGGCAGCCCCGGGCTATCACATGACACCGGGAGGACGCGCGGCCCCGGCTTGGGTTAGCGCACGCTGCCCCGACTCGGCTACTTCACGTTACCGGGGCCCTGGCTTTGGGCGCGGTCTACCGCACCACCTAACAGGCGTGTTTGAAACCGCAGGAGATGATGATGAACGGGTTTATCGAAACTTGATTGGATGAGCCTATCGGTAATAGCGATTTCAGTGTGTGCATTTATTGTTCATAGTGGTGTGAAATGTGGTTGGGGTACGACCGACACGACAACCCGTCGAGGCGAATTTCGCACTGGGGTACTCAAAATTTGAAGAATTTAAGACGTTTTCATGAGTTTTGAAGGTATGGATAAGTTCCAAAAATCCGATTCTCCTTATCTGGGCCATTAACTCCATACGGTCCAGGAAAGCTGGCACACTACCTTTAAAGGAAATCGTGCAAAAGGCCTAGACACGATCGACGTAAATGTAGGTAATGTAATGTTTCGCACCAAAATTTCGTCCTGGGACCGTTTTTTGCCAATAAAAAATGTTCGTCAAAGACGAAAGTCCAATTTTTGGGTCGTTGATTCGACTCTCATGACTAGTTACCATACTCTGTATTCTGCGTTAATTATTTGAAGTAGCAAACTTTAGGCACTGCAACCCAGCTGAAATCATCATAAAACTAAATCAGGTGATACACAGCATATACATAAATACGAGAAAAGAGGCGACCTAACATATGCTTAGGATAGCTTTTCTGAGAACGAGCAAAACTCACTGACGTTTACTTCAGACCTGAGACATGGAAAATGACTACCCTTTTTTCTCATAAACGGGAGCACGTTCGTTCTTCCGCGAGACTCTGGCTGCTGGCTAGCTCAAGCATGTATGTAGGGCTAAACACTAAGGCGTCGTACCAGTGCCCCCAGACTCGTCGAAGCATATGCCTACTGGTCATTGAATTTCCTCTTTGATGAATGTATAAGGACCAAAGTCCTTATACATTCATTCCTTTGCGTTAAAAACGTAGAACGTGTAGTGACATACATTTATTGGACACAAGACAGCAACAATTGCACAATAAATACAATATTCAGTATTCACATCTGCCACTCAGACGTAAAACCACCGTTTACTGGTACTTCGGAGCCGGCTTGTAGGCAGGAGCGGGCTTATAGGGAGCGGGCTTGTAAGCCGGGGCCGGGTGGTACTCGGGGTACTGGGCCTCGCCCTCGTAGGTGACCTCGGCGTTGAATCCGTTGTAGTGGTCGGCGACGTACTTGACGGTCTGGATGCGGCCGTCGGGCAGAGCCACGGTGTAGGAACCCTCGGCGTTGTGGCCGTCGCTCTTCTCGTTCTGGGCAAAGTTGGCTCCCGAGTAGTGGTCGTTGACGGCATAGTCGAAGGCGTACGGCCTGGGCTCCTCCTTGTACTGCGGCTCCGGGTGGTAGGGGGCCGGCTTGTAGGCCGGGGCCGGGCGGTAGGACGGCGGGTTCTCCGGGGCCGGGGCAGCGGCGGCCACGGCCAGGACGGCGGCAACGATGAACACCTGGAAAATGTCACATGAGCAAAATTAGTGCCGATCATTGCAGCAGAGGATGATAATGATTATTGAACTGGACATTATATCAAATACCTACCAATCCAGTTCCTATTCCGGGCTTGGTAGACATGATATAATGTGGAATTTTAGAGATCGTAGCCATTCATAAAATTGGCTCACTTTAGTTCCAAACGGCCATTCGTTAGTTTCTGTGTTACCTTCATGTCTGGAGTGAGTTGTTCCGACTGTTGTCTCGGCTGAACTGATATCGGTCGAGAGTGAGAGGCGGCTTATATAGCTCGGTGGGCCTGACCACCTGTTGTTAGGCCGGAGGGTTAGTTAGACCGACACTGAAACATCAGGTACGATGAGCTTGTCGACATTAATGAAATATACGTTTTAATGTCATGTGATGTGGCGATATTATGTGACTTACCTTCAACAAAAGTGCGTTTGGTGTCTGTGGCCGATCTCGTCGAGGGATACTATGGCTGCAAGCTACACCAGTCTCCATGCCATTGTATAATGCATAGGGCAGCCCACTGCTTCCCGTGACTCATATTTTTCTAGCAGTCATCACAGCTCTTAACCTATAGCAATTAGCATGGTACTGAAATTAGAGCGGAATGTAGAGAAAACTTGTGCATATAGGATGAGTTAGGTACACTACAAACCAGTATAACGCCTTTTGGGGCGACTAACGGAGCGAGCGAGAGGGTGGGCCTTGCACGTACGAAATTGCGAGGGGGTTCCTCCAACTGACTTGTGCACGGCACCCTACTAACCGGTCTCTAGCGATGTGCCAAATTTGGGCACAATCGGCCCAGCCGTTCTCGAGATCTGGAAGCGGCACCCTGCACGTGCGCACGTGCAAAATGGGTCCCAACTGACTTGCGCACGGCACCCTACTAACTGGTCCCCAACCGTGTACCAAATTTGAGCGCAATCGGCCAGGCCGTTCTCGAGATCTGGGAGCGCCCCCTGCACGTGCGCACGTGCTGTAGCACCCCAACCTTAACACATGCAGATGAATTATCTGATGGAGACCTAACTGTGTACCGAGTTTCAATTCAATCGGCCCAACCGTTGTGCCGTTATTGAGGTTGCAATTTTGGGGGTTCTTAAAAAATGTCCAACTTTACCACGCACCACGTGCGGTAGTTGGCAAGAACGCATGGTGGCCATCACACCACAGAACTTTTACGTCCAAGTGACATTCAGTAAAGAAGACCGCTTGTCAATCGGATGTCCCGTTCCTAAGATATTAGCTTTTGAAGAGCGTCCCCACGGCCGGCCGGCCGGCCGGCCGGCCGCTCATACTCAGGATTTTCCCTTAATTCAGTATGAGACTCCGCTCGCTTCGCTCGCTCCGTAATCATATATGACCTCGCCTTTTGCGGCGACTAACGGAGCGAGCGAGAGGGTGGGCCTTGCACGTGCGAAATTGCGAGGGGGTACCTCCAACTGACTTGTGCACGGCACCTTACTAATCGGTCTCTAGCGATGTGCCAAATTTGAGCACAATCGGCCCAGCCGTTCTCGAGATCTGGAAGCGGCACCCTGCACGTGCGCACGTGCAAAATGGGTCCCAACTGACTTGTGCACGGCACCCTACTAACTGCTCCGTAACCGTGTACCAAATTTGAGCGCCATCGGTCCAGCCGTTCTCGAGATCTGGAAACGACCCCTGCACGTGCGCACGTGCAGCAGCACCCCAACTCTGGCACATGGATATGCATTGCCTAGTGGGTGCCTACCTACATGCCAACTCTCAGCGCAATCGGCCCAGTAGTTACCGAGATATTGCAACAATTACAAAAGTGACACCTCTTCGTTTTGCACGTGGCACGTGCATAAGGGGTCACCCACATGCATCGGGAATAGTGCAATACTTGGTAGAAGGAATGAAGCTACCCTACAAAAATTACCGCATGTAAATCGGTCAAGTGGTTGCTGAGATATAAGCCTCGCAAAAGCGTGACCACGGCCGGCCGGCCGGCCGGCCGCTCATACTCAGAAATTTCCGTTAATCTAAGGAAAGACTACGCTCGCTTCGCTCGCTCCGTAATGACCTTCTCAGTTCTCGTTGTTTACTACTTCTTCACTTATGAAGAGGAAGAGTTCACCATCTGTCATCAACGACAGAAGGTATAGAGGAAACGCATACCGTAAGGCATTTCCTTGAAATCGACTTCAATCGAAACAATCATTCAGAAGCGTGAGTGAGATGTTTTATTTAGCACAAACATAAAGAATCACAAATAAATAAAATATATACTTCAGACACATAAGTTGCCTAAATCACAACATCTTAGTACTTAGGCGCAGGCTTGTAGGGGGCGGGAGCGGGCTTGTAGGCCGGGGCCGGGTGGTGCTCGGGATATTTCGCCTCGCCCTCATAGGTGACCTCGGCGTTGAATCCGTTGGTATGGTCGGCGGTATACTTGACGGTCTGAATGCGGCCGTCGGGCAGAGCCACGGTGTAGGAACCCTCGGCGTTGTGGCCGTCGCTCTTCTCGTTCTGGGCGAAGTTGGTGCCGGTGTACTTGTCGTCGACGGCGTAATCGAAGGCGTACGGCTTGGCCTCCTCCTTGTACTGGGGCTCCGGGTGGTAGGGGGCCGGCTTGTAGGCCGGGGCCGGGCGGTAGGACGGCGGGTTCTCCGGGGCCGGGGCAGCGGCGGCCACGGCCAGGACGGCGGCAACGATGAACACCTGGAAAAAGAAGGAAAAACTAAAACTAAACAGAATAACAAAACGTATTTTTCTAAACTTCGATATCACACGCACCAATTTAGATAGGCATGTTTAAGGAATGAATAAGTGAAGATGGGAACCCGTTGGATGAAACCCGTGGATGAAAGTAACGTGCGCGGCGCGCGCTGACTGAAAATATGGCACATCCAAGGTGTTGGAACAGAAGATAAGTGATGATGAAGGATGCAGTAGTAGGAAGTAGGAACCATAATCCAGCAAGACTTAATAGAAATGAATTGGAGACGAACGAATCTCAAAATCAATCCAAGCTGCGCGCTCGTAGTCTCTAGTTTATTGCAGACGACTACATTGATTAATTATGATGATGATTCACCCATGACTAATCGACATAACAATCAGACGTTGCTTATTTTTATTTCTTACATATCGGGCAAAGCTCTGGCGGCCAATTTTCACGGTAAAGAAATCGAGCACCTGCATTTCGAGTATCACTATGACCCGTACCATCTACACATTTACTCTACATTTTCCCAGAGTGTAATATGGCGTCAGCCTTACCTTCATGTCTGGAGTTGTTTGGGGCTGGAGCGTCACCACAACTGATGCCACTGTGAAGTGAGGCGCGGCTTATATAGTTCGGTGGCTCTGACCACCTATCATTAGGCCCGAGGCCCAGTGTTACATCGCTGGTTAGCATCAAGGATAAAGCCATTGAACACATAGCCTGGGGCCGCGTGTTTAGCCTGTGTGTGCCAGTTGTTACTATTTTTATTCCCGCCGAGTTTGTTTCAAATCAGGCAGAAGAATCTCTCAGCATGAACAATATTGGTTTGGGCACGGAATCAAAATTGATGGGTCCATCATCAGCCATGTGCCGGTCTCTGATTTGTCCACCAGCTCAGTCCTGTCTAACCCATCGACCACCAGTCCAGCACCACCCCTGCGTCGGCCTCTGACCCACTCAAATCCACCCAGCGCCGTCTCTGATCCATCCACTCACACTCGGCGCCCTCCCCGGCGGCTGGAGACGCCCGTACCGGTCTGACCGGTTCACCTCAGACCGGCGGGGATGTCCCGAGTCGGACCGAACCGGTCGGAGCGGCCCAGACAGCCGGGTGCCGCCGGCCTCGGACGTCCGTTACTACAGTTCCTGTCTGCCGGGCACAGACCGGTTCTGGCTGCCCACCTCGGCCGGACATGGGGTGAGGTGTGTTGACTCAGCTGGGAACATGGCGAATGCAGATGGAAAGTCAAGATTTTTGTTGTCTGTTGAGAATATGTTGATGTCTAGCCAGGCAAATACAAGACTTCCACTTTTTCGCAACATCTCAGCCGAAATCATTGATCTTGCAAGGCGCCTGTAAATATCTTATCACTTGCTTACCCGAAAGTCGTGAATGATAAGATCCTTTGATAGGTTGGTCAGATCGTTAGACACAAAGGTGCCTTCTCACAGGTCATGGGTGCTGGTCATTTGCTATGCACTGTCTTTTGCTTGTCCACGGTCTGAATGAGATATTGCTGTGGGGTGTGGCACGCGATGAGTGCGCTGCATTTCATAGTGCGGTGCATTTCATACTGTATACAGCATCCAGCAATGCGCATTGAACATATCTCGCCAATGCATGGGCGGCGGGCGCCTGTTGCGCCGCTGGGTCATTCCGGCTGTCTCCGCGACCTCAGACGCGCTGTCTCGGAATCCGCAGGTGTTGTCGGCGCTCACACATGCAGTCGACCTGCAGAGGTCATGGGAGCCAGGCTCCGGAGCCAGCCGGCGCGCCGCCTCGGGGCCGCCGAGGTATGGCGTAAGCGGCCCGTGCGCCTGACCTTGTCGGCGTCTCACCGTGGGTGGGTGTGGGTCAGCAGCCAGCAGGCAGCCGGCCCGCGGGCTGGTAGTGGTAGCCAACGTAGTCCATGGCACGGCTACCACTCTGACTCTGGCTGAACTGTGCAAACGATCGACAAACTCATTCGTAAATCGTACAGTACGGCAATAGCAATGCTGAATGTCATTATTCAACCTTGTTAGCTGAACAGTAAACGTTAACGAGTCGTTCATTCATCCCTCTTGACGTTTACCCACTCATGCTGTTTGTGATAGCCGATCCCTTGAGGCATTAACAGTCTATAGTTTATTCTTCATGGTAAATTTACACCATGACATTTGAAGGTCTCCACCGTGCATTAACCAGCACCGAGCGACAAGTGAGCTGTAACATACAGATGGTCATGAGGTTGGTCAAGCACAATGCCAATGAACTTCTAATACCACGTTATGTGGTACCCATTTAGCTCAATATTTAGCGTTTATTGCGCAAGTGTGCAACAACGACCGAGGTAACTATGGCGTTGCGTGCTGAGAGTGATTCTGAGAGGCACTCACGAGGCATTTGAACCACGGTATCGTCTGATTTATGTGATAGCCCGTTTTCCAGTGGCACGAGCGGCCTGGTGGAATAGTTGCGGCGGGTCGCGGGTCAGGTCTGTGTCCCAGTCGACCTCACACAGGCAACTGTGCGCTATGATGGGAGGCACGACAGGTCGGTGTGGTTTGACCCGAGGAGGCTGGTTCGTGAGATGAAGACGAGGCATGGCTGCGACGAGGCGTATTGGATGACGACACTGAGTGATAGCTATATCTTATTGAACGCTATATCTCATTTGACCCGTCAATAATTTGTACTTTGGTGGCCTACCGTTTGGTAATGATTGGCAGCACTTCAGTTTTTCTTTATTATATTACAGCTTTTGCAAAATAAAGCCTATAGAGGGCAACTATAGACTCGTGCAACATGACACAATTTGCATCCATCTCGGGAAAAGGTCAGCCATCTAAATCATAGAGAACCCAGAATGGTGGATAAATGAATCTGCGAATAAAACATAGACCCTGGATCGTCTACGTTGGTACCGCGTGACGACCATATGAACTATGAACAAGCATGTCATGAAACCTGTAAACGATGCTAAGCATGCAATGTCGTTGTTTCGTTGAAAGACATGTGGCCCTTACTCAGTGTCATGTGGCCCCTCTGTTTCTTTCACGTATATTGCAGACATTTCAGCTGCCTGTGTCTGTAGGTAAGTCGGTGCAGACGCTTCGAAATGAAATTGGCTGTTTTGCTATACCTAGTGGCCTTCAATTTCGGCAGATGGTGGACAGGCCCGCGTGCCCTTCTCCCTCTCCTCTGCAGACATCGGATAGTGATTAGTGTATCATGCCTGTAACAAACCCGGCGTGACAAACTCGGCGCGGCGGCGTATAGTGGCGCAACGAGACACCATGACGTCACTGAGTGACACAGGTGACGCCCGAGGTTCGCACCCGGCTCTCTTTGTGAAGGCTCGGGACGGCCAGAGTGCGAACTGCGAAATGCCGCGAGTCTTCTGTGACAAATGCCCGAAGAAAAGGAGACGCAATGAACTGTGAAGCGGAGGCGTGATGCTCGTATGCTGGGAAGCATGACTGGTCTGAAACCCTTGGACAACCCTGTAAGCTTATAGATAATGCAAAAATAAAATGCCTTTGAAGTTAGGACGGAATTTTGAAAGATGCGTTTGGTTTTTAGATGTCCGAGGCTGGCCTTTTGTCCTTTGACCGGCCGATGCAGCCGGTCGGTAGTCAAGCGGATCGTCGTTCTAGCATAGGCCTGTCGAGATGCTTGTTTTTATGCAAATAAACATAAGGTCATTCGTCTCTTTCCCCTCTCTCTCTCTCTCTCTCTCTCTCTCTCTCTCTCTCTCTCTCTCTCTCTCTCTCTCTCTCTCTCTCTCTCTCTCTCTCTCTCTCTCTCTCTCTCTCTCTCTCTCTCTCTCTCTCTCTCTCTCTCTCTCTCTCTCTCTCTCTCTCTCTCTCTCTCTCTCTCTACCTATCTATCTACCTATCTCTCGCTCTCCTCTACTATTCGAATCAGCGCTACCTAAAGCTGATTCAATTGCACATTATACGCAGTGGCTTATAGTAAGCATTTGCATATAGATCCAGGTCAATGGACCATGAACGTCAGAGACAAACTTCAAAGACCTTTACTGTTCAATACCACTTGATGATCTCTTCAAAACTACCACTCGCTATAATACGAACGCACTGTGTCGTTTTACGACCGCCATAAATCGGTGCCATGACGCGGGGGTTCACGGAGTAATCAACTGCCAGCGGGAGCGGCGCGGGTGGCGGATGGCGGGGCGGCGCCCGGGCCGGGCAGCATCTGACCGGCACGCTTCATCAGCTCCGTCGGCCTTGGGCGTAAAGGAGCACAAGGGCGCGCCACGCCGCAGAGCGCTGCTCCCCGGTCCGCTGGTGACCTCAGTGACGGTCGCATGGTGGCTGCGGGGACACTTCGATGGCCGGATATACTGCGGGAACAAGCCGGCTTCCTGTTGAGCAATGCCATGTCGACTTGACGTTATCTAACATTAATGGGTTTGTAGCGCTCAGTTCTCGGCATAAGGCCGGACATTCTTGGGACACCATGTAGCCCATTAAGCATGACTCATTGTTACTAAGAAAATCACGAGAATCTACCCCAAAATCATCGAAGCGATATTCTGCAATCGCTGAAGAATGAAGAAAGCTCGAAGTCAGTCATGCCCAAGTGTCAGTTATCGTGGTATGTTCACTAACCCGATCTACTGGATCAGACCTTGGCACCAGCCCTTGCGGTTTCTCACACATGACTGGAATGCGATAGGCTCCTTATGAATAGCTGCAACACAAAAGTGTTTGTCATGGCGCGGGTATGAGTTGCGCCACTATCCACGGCGTCTGACCACACCCCCATTCATCATTAGCTGAATCGTGCCCTGTTTTCACAAACTCGCACCGATTAGGCAGGGAAGGCTGCGGCGAGCCGCTCGACCCGCCCGCAGAAGGCGACTGAAGCCGCCATTACCGACCCGATAAGCACCGGGCGAGGACAGTGCCGTCTTACCCGACTGCCTGGCCGCTCTGAGAGGGCAGGGCTGCCTCCAGATCGGCCCTGCAGCCGGCCGCGACGCCAGCTCATTAGCGTAGCTATACCGGCGGCGTCGAGTGCACGGCTGCGGGCCTCGCACGACCGAGAGACACACCCGCACCGGTTGCGTAACAGCGCGGACCCACCCGGTGCGCAGCGCGGCACGGCCGAAACTGTAACTGGGTCAGCCGATCGGCGTCTGCCCCCCCCCCCCCCACACACACACACCGTCTGCTGTAGGGGCGTTTGACCAATACATGGTCTGCTGTGGGTGTGTCTGCTCCCCCCTCCCCCCCCCCCTCAGCACTGTCTGTTGAATAGGGGGACGGTGCCTGCTTGTCTGCTTGTGTTGGAAGGGCAACTGAAATTTCTTTGCCACCCCGACTGAAGCCCTAGATAGTGTCTACCGGGCACTGTCTGCACAGATGAGGGTGTTGCCATTCATTCCTGGCTGGAGGAACGGCTGGTATTACCAGTTATCACTGATTGAGGAGACAGCTGACGTCTATGTTGACATAGTGACATCAACTTATTCTGTTCCAATTCCCGCACCTGAAGGGATAAACAATGCGGTTAAAAACATGCGAAATTAATAATCTCTTTTATCCCACTGCCCATATCCAACACATGATTCCCGGGGAATATTC